TTAGAGAAAGACTTTCGAAAACATTTAAAGATCACACCGACCCTGAACTCTACACACACACACACACACACACAGAGAGAGAGAGAGAGTACGATTATTACACGCACATTGAAGAAAAGGAGAAACCCGAATGCATATCTCCCTCAGCAACTGTTGTGCTCATCCAGCGTCTCGTGTGTGTGTGTGTGTGTGTGTGTGTGTGTGCTCGACTATTAGCTTGTGCTTCTGAGATGAAGCGCTTTGAAAGGAATCTCTTCAGTGGCTCGATTGTTTCCATCTCTGGATCTGGATCGCCCGGGGTCTGAGTCGAGGGCTTTCAGCGTTTCTGCCCTCTGTTTGTACAATCAGCAAGACCACACAAAGAGACTCAACCTCCTAATCTCTTAACCAAACAAGACAGCAATTACACTGGCTGATAAAGTGGGAACATTTCCATCGGAGCGGCTGCCGAGTCCCTCTCTCTCTCTCTCTCTCTCTCTCTCTCTCTCTCTCGTGTCAGTGCTGGTAATAATGGGCTGAGCTCAGCATGTGCTGTCCTGAAATCTGTCAGTAAGAGAGACATATGAGATGTTTAATAGATGACCGCCTCGACACACACTCGTTGACATTTAACAGTACTAGAAATAACAACTAGTTACACACACACACAACAGGCTTGGCTGGATCCTAGCGTTCACAAATGGTTTTATTTCTCCTCGAGGAAACAACGACGACACGGGTTATTTTTAACACGCTCAATTATTGAAATCTCATTAGAGAAATCATTAATTACAGCCGGCGAGTCGCGTGTAGAGATGAGCCTCGCCGTAATTAATATGTCCAGAATAATGTGATGGCAGTCATTGAGGGTTGGGGAACGAGTGAACGGGCGACCGGCTCGATGAGGCGTCGAGCTTCACGAGGAACAATAGACAATCCCTTTAGCCGTAGTCTATTACAGCGGTGTTCCTCGACACTGATCCCAACACTCACATCAAGATCATTTACTGCAGAACAAGCTCTGAAGATATTCATGAGGAATATATCGCAATCACGTCTGAACCATCACTGGATCTTCTTTCTGACCCCACTGTCTTGTTTTAAGCTTTCTTCATTTTGATGATTTTCAGAAAGCAAGACTTCATCGTAGATCGTATTTCAGGCATGTGTGTGTGCAGTGTGTGATTGTTCAGATGTTTGTGTGTGTCAGTTTTCTCTATACGCGATAGTGTTTTCTCCTGTTGAAGCCGTCAGTCCACAGTATTTCAACTACATTTCCCATAATGCTGTGCAGAAAATTCCACCAATCAGAGAGTTCGGACCAGAGCGACCCAATCGACACGGTCTCAAAATACGTGCATTGAATAAAATGCTTAGTTTTTATACAGTATATAATTAACAGCAGTTTTACTTTTCTCCATCGTCTCTATTTCAACGATGTTGTTCGCAATGCATCATGGGATTGAAGTTCTTCCCCTTTTCGTCTGATTTTCAAATGCTCTTTTTGCTTCAAATCAAAGTGTGTAATGTCGCGTCTCTCCTCGGCTCACGGCTTATGACGCTTCACAGCGGGGGGTGTTAATGCTTGCGTCTGATTGGCTGACTAAGGTGTTCGGTTATTTCCGCGATAAAGCTACATGACGTGTCTGTCTAGCGAGGACTAACGGCGCTGTTCTCCAAGCAGAACTTACACTATTAGCCCAACACACTCAGATCATTATGCCCAACAGTGTGTAGTTGTTTAGGCAAAAATCTGGTAATTTGAATGAAGTGTGTGCCATTTCATGCAAAAGTTTGATTTTGATTATGCTGTGTTGCAGTGCTTCATTTTCCAGGATATATGAGGCATTTTGCAGTTTGGGTGTGTGGTTTTGTGAAGTATTTTGATAAAACCAGACTAGTTTGCAAAATTGTGTGTTAACAATTGGAAAAAAACTGTGTTAATAACTCAAGCCTCCGTCACTAACTCTACGATGACGTTTGCGATGATGAGATGACGCTACTCCTCAATAATGCCGCACTTCACCTCAACTCTTTTTAAAATCCTTATGGGAGAAATTAATGTAAAAACTTGGGGACCGGATCATGTGAGTTTGGGGCGGTGCTGTGTGTGTGTGTGTGTGTGTCACCGAACCATTATGCGTCAATACACATCTCAAAATATACACACGCATGTTTAAAAAATGACGTTATGTTGACGTTAATTAAGGCATGTCTATGAAAGTGCATTTCCTTACTGCACAATCCTTTAAGTCGTATGCTTTAAACACTGATAGTGTGTGTGTGTGTGTGTGTGTGTGTGTGGTATTATAATAGAAAGTTCGCTTGATCTGTCATTCTCGAGGTCATATTTGAAAAGAGGTCTGCCTGTGAGCCGGACATCTGTGTGAGTGTTCTGCGAACACGTCCCGTTTACTGTAAATCAGCTGTGTGTGTGTGTGTGTGTGTGTGTGTCAGATGTTCAGAGAGATGCTTCCTGGAGTCCAGACAGATATTTTTATGATAACAGTGTTTCATCAGAATCACACACACACACACACACACACACACCAACTGCTGGTAAATTTGCTAAATACATGAGATACATAATTATGAACTAGTTGTGCACTTACTGTTACACTTATAGTACACTTAAACATATACTTTTATGTACTAAAAGTGGGCCAATTTAGTCCCAGGTGGAATTTAAATAGTACACTTACAAGTTTACTACTAGTACATAGTGACATTAGTATACTTACTACATAATGTATACTTAAAAATATACTTGAACATTACTTAAGTATACTACATAAAATGAACTTGAAATATACTTCTTTTTCGTAAGGGTGAGGTTGTGTGGTGTGTTGCTGATGACACACTCCTTCAATCCTGCATTACTGGATGTGTGTGTGTGTGTGTGTGTTCCGGGTCGCTGGCAGATGTTGGACGGGTGTGTGAGAGGACAGTGTGTGAGGATGGTGAGTGTGTGTGTGTGTGTGTGTGTGTGATTATTGAAGCTGCTGTAAGCGCGTCTCTCGCTCCATTATTCCGCTCACTGGTTGTAATAATAACTCTGTTTTCTCCTCTCTCTCTCTCTCTCTCTCCTCTTAACAGCCTCTTTTAAAGTCATTATTTAAAAGCTTTCCCTAATTCTGCCTCTGTCAGTCTGAGTGTGTGTGTGTGTGTGTGTGTGTGTGTGTGTTTCACTTTAAACGCCTCGATTGTGAACTTTTCTCAGCCGGTCTCCTTTCCTTCCGCTGGAATATCCTCTCCAGAAGAGTGTGTTGTGAACGCACCACACACTGTGTATGGAGGAACATGTATGTGTGTGTTATATACAGTCATTTTTCTACTAGTGTGTGTGTAGGACACTATAGTTGATTTGTGTAAGTGAGGAGAGCAAAATAAAGTAAACTGGGACATATTATAATCAGGGGTGTAAAGTAACGAATTACAAATACTCACGTTACTGTAATTAAGTAGTTTTTTTTAGAAATTGTACTTTTTTGAGTAAGTTTAAAATTGTGTAATTTTACTTTTACTTGAGTACATTTTAAGTGATGTATCGGTACTTTTTCTCCGCTATTTTCCTTCTGTTTGTGGCCGTTACTCGTTATGCTTGTTTTAATTTTATTTTTATCCATCAACGTGATTGGATCGAGTAATCGGTCTCGTGACTGTCATCAATTCAAATTAAGCATAGAAAACTTACCGCCTATTCCTGCTGTTACTCGTGACTGCTGTGGAAGTGCATTCATCACGCATCAATTCAATCCAGATATCAGCGTCTTCCTCTAATATGCTAAGGTACATTTCACATTTCTGCTTAATATGATATTTATATAGGCTGGCCTGTCTACATGGCCTAACATTTGGTCTGAGGTTGGGGGAATTGCGAGACGAGTTCATAATGCGGTGAATTCCCGCTCCCATTTACTTCACAATCACAGGAGAGACGCGCGTCACGATCTGTGAACTGCCGCGTCTCGCGCTCGCCATGCCGGCAGATTCAGAATCAGTGCACCATGTCGTTAACTTGAACTGCATTACTTAATAAGAAATTAGCACAGCTCGTTAATAAACAGCGTTTTTTGATTGATCCATTATGCGATCCGTCTTCATTTGGCAAGTGCACTTGCGCAAAAACATTTTCCATGCTGAACTTTTTTTTGTGTGGATGCTGCTGAAAAAACCGCTTCGCCGAGACTTCAGAGACAAAGTGTGTTTGTTTCTTTTGTAAAAGTTTCCTGGATATAACTTCCCTATTTAATGCACAATTGTCCTTTCAAATTATATTATCAGCATTACAATGTGAGTAAATGTAGCCGTGTAAAATGTAAGGGATGATGCCACCCTTCTAGAACAATGCATTTACGTTTAAATTGTAACATATTTAATAGCATGGAATTAAAGTGTGTAATTAGTGTTAGCTCACTATCTTAGCCTTTAGTTGAGGTAGTATGATAATATTAGTGATTCTCATTTATCAAAACACTAACATTGGTACCGTTTTGGAGAGAAATTGGGTATTTTTTTATTTTATTCAACCCATCTCTTGGTGTGTGATGCTGAACTATCATATGAGTTTCTAAAGGTTTTTGAATTATTTGCACAGTTATGAATATTGATATTTTATGTGCAACAATAACATGCTCAGGCCCAGTGGCTTTTCGCCTAATTTTAAATGCTTTTCCCCCCAAATAATATGATTTAAATGGTGATGAGTGTACTGATTTGATGCATTTTAAAAAGATGGATGATAGATATTCTTCAATCTTTCTTACAAAGAACAAAGTATAATGTGAATTCCAGTATGTGCATTTTTAAACTTATAAATTGTAGTGCACAGTGTTTATTATAAGGGTTAGAATCCGCACCTCAGTACTCACTACTCACTACTCTTGAGTACTTTTAAATAAGCTACTTTTTTACTTTTACTCAAGTAGTTTTTTGGACAAGTACTTTTTACTCTACTCACACTACATTTTTTGGAATGTAATGGTACTTTTACTTGAGTATGTTTTTTCAGTACACTGTAAAAAATTTCCGTAAAAATACGGTACAATGTACCATATAAATGTGAAGGATTTTTTCCGTATTTGTCTTTTACGGATCTTTTACCCTTATTTTGAATTACGCGTTGCATTGTGGGAACATGATCCCGGCAGCGCGAAAAGTTTAAGACGCATCCGCCATTACACACGCAGATGACCGCGGGCAAAGTTGCTTTTTAGAGCCGGATTTCGGGTGTGTGGAAGCCATTCTGACACTTATGTGGTAAAACTTAAACTTAAAAACGAAAATTATGTGTTGCTTGATGTTAAAAAAGCTGTTAACGTAACGTTATTTTTAGTTACCATCTGGCATTAACTGTTAGCCGTCGTGTTTATCATTTTATGCATATCGTCACACATTAAGACTCGTGGAGGTTCTCGATTGTAGTGTCCTTGTTGTAATGGGCTTATTTACTTTTATTTGTCGTGATGCGGTTTATTTCTTGCCGAGCGAATCCGTTAACTAACGTTAGTTGTGATAGTTCTAACGTTAGCTAGTGTTTTTGGAGCAATTTAATGCCTTCAAGCAAAAGCAACCAGAGGAATCGTCAAGAAAAGTAAACGCCATTAAGACTTGCTTGATTTGAAAGGCATGAAGACACAACGTGAAGAGACTGTGTGTGGATATGCAGTAACTTGACCGATACAGCTGGATCAAGGAAAACACCAGCACCTTTTCTGCAAAATGAGGTAAGTTAACGTTATGTTTACGTTAGACTTCATGTTTTTGTTTTATATGACACACACGACTTTAAACCCCAAATAATGAAAGATTAATTTACATTTAGCATGACTGCTATTATCTAAACTTCTGCCTGTAATGTTAGTCATTCTTTCCCTTCTCATTTGTTTATTTCATAATGTTTCTGTTGTTTTCTTATCTATTAACAGGACTTTTCTGCTGTAGTTTACATCCCAAGCACCACCTGCATGCTTCTTATGGGTTTGTATTTTGTTTTATTAGCATTATTATGAATGTTCAATACTGGCAAAACACATTTGAATTTAAAGTCTGAAGAATAAAGTCTGTTATATAGAAAAAGTTGGTTGCTGAATACCCCCTTCAAAGATATTTATGTTTACATGGTCGGTAGAAATACAAATTGTATAGGGAAGATTTAAACAACTATGTTTAAAGCGTTTTTTTGAAGTGATCGTGTTATGTTTTTCATTTTGTAATATCTTTTTCTGTTTCAGGTGGTGGACATTCAGGGTTGCTGTCATTCAAGAAGTTATTGACCACATCTCCTACCCTATTGAGGCAGTAAGATGCAAAATACCTGAAGAAAATGGCACTTATCCTGGATTTCATATAAAGGTAGGCAAAACATTTTTAATTAAATTATTTATAGAACATGTTATTGTGATTCTGTTTATTTAGTTGAAAATAATTAAACATATTAGAATGTAGCCTATAGTTGAGCTGTAACCTATAGTTGAGTGGACTCCAATTGCATGTCATGTCAGCTTGTCTGCATGACAAGCTGACATGACATGCAATTGGAGTCCACTGGAAAAAAGTCTTAGCATTTTTTAAACAGTGTTTGAATTTGAGAGAATTAGGGATGGCTGACAATTTGTTTATAGTTGATAATTTAGTGAATGTAAAATACTGTACATTTGTTTTTCAACCTCAACCTGGTCTACATGATACTTTGTAGTTAATTTTCGTTCATTTAATTTCTTGTGTAGCTAAAAACATATCCTTTTTTTTTTTTCATTTCCAACTTTCCTGTGTAGAAATCCTGAACGAAGGTTGAAAAGGCTGAGATGAAGGAAACGTCCCCATTCCTCCAAAACTGCTGAAGTTCCTGTATGAACAACTTCGAAAAACCAGGTAAAGTTTCAAGCTTTTGTCAAATCTCAAAATGGAACTTTAACTGAACATCCGAAAAATGAACGTTTTTCATGCAAGTTGTTAAGATCTTAAAGGGATAGTTCACTTTGAAATACATTTTTGAAATCTTTTATACCTCAAGGACATCCAAAATGTAGGTGTCTTTGTTTCCACAGTATTTTCAAGTTTGATATTTTTAGGTCAAACCGTTCTTGTCAGTCATATAATGGAGGTTTATGGGGTTCACCCTGGGTCCCCCTAAAGAGCATGCACAGAGAAGTCCAAATTAAACATGATTTAATGACTCGTGAATGTAAGTACACATTGATGGCCTAAGACACGAAACGAGCAGTTTGTGTGAGAAAACGAACAGTATTTAAATTGTTTTTACCTCTTGTAATCACAGCCACGTCCAAGTGATCTGAAGGATCACTTCCGGCGCACTTGCGCAGACCGAAGCGCCCTGTGCCTTCAGATCACTTGGACGTGGCTGTGATTACAAGAGGTAAAAACAATATGAATACTGTTCGTTTTCTCACACAAACTGCTTGTTTCGTGTCTTAGGCCATCAATGTGTACTTACATTCACGAGTCATTAAATCATGTTTAATTTGGGCTTCTCTGTGCAGGCTCTTTAGGGGGACCCAGGGTGAACCCCATAAACCTCCATTATATGACTGACAGACAAGAACGGTTTGACCTAAAAATATCAAAATTGAAAATACTGTGGAAACAAAGGCACCTACATCTTGGATGCCCTAGAAGTAAGATAAAAGATATCACAAATTAATTTCAAAGTGAATTATCCCTTTAATGAAATCTGAGAGCGTTCTCTCCCTCTGTTGACAGCTCTCCCTCTGCTTACACCTACCACTTCAAGCTTCAGAAAGATAGTAAGATCATAATAAAAGTAACACAGTGTTCGAGTCCTATCCAAATGTGATGCGATAAGATTCTAGCAACAAAACATTTGTGCCACTTTATAAATTTGGGGTTAAACCACTGGAGTCACATGGATTACATTTGTGTCTATACCTTTCTGAAACTTGAAAGTGGTAGTTGCCTAAGCTGTCAATGGAAGGACAGAAATCTCTCAGAGTTCCTCAAAAAGATCTTCATTTTTGTTCTAAAGATGAATGTAACTCTTGTGAGGACGTGTGGAACAACGTGCGTGTGAGTAATTACAAATTAAAATTTTGGGGTGAGCTTACGCTTTATGTAATATTGTGTTCTCTTACAGAAAAATGGCATCAACACTAACATTTCACTCTTCTTTAATCCCTAGCTGGCATCTTGGGGAGGACGACCTCGCATCCAGTATGCTGCTGTGGGTGCCGCAGGATTTCGAACTCATTCGATCACTTGTCTCCATGCTTTTTGAACTAATCGTGCCTTGCTGTGGGTCAAGCCGCTGGATCTTCAGATCTTCTTCGATTTGCTTAATCAATCCTTTTTTTGGGTGCAGTGCGCTGGATTCTCCACTGGGTTGGACGTTTCCTCCAGAGGACTTGTGTGGTATTCAATTTGCATCCATTCTGCACGTGTCCAAACATTTCACTCTATTGACTAGAAGTCTAAAGCAATTTTTAAGGATAAAAGCAGAAGCCTTATCTTCATTGCATTTTATTTGTTTCTGTATTGTATCGTATTCTATTAGTATTGCATTTGAAAATGTTTTGAATCTTGACTTTCACAGTTTATGAAGGTTTTTTTTTTTTTTTCCCTTTTTTTTTTAAAATAATTTTGTAAACACTATTTGGTACAACACCAATATTGTGCAAGTACCTGCTCGTTTTCTTTTTTTTTTTTTTCATTTCTCCCATGTTTGTTTAATGTCTTAACTTTTTCCACAATACAAGCACTTTTTATGGTGCTTTGCACATTGTTAATTGTGTGTGTCTGTCTGTGTATATCAATTTTTACCCATTGAATGCGTTTTAAGAATGTTTACATGAAATTTTGACAAAAATAAAACATGTTCAATATGTATATATTGTTCTTGAATTATTTGCTACCAAAATATATGCTATAAAAATAGAAATTTCTGTATAAGGATTATCCGTGAATAGTACAGAAAATACGGAATTTTCCATTTTAGGTTTGACGGAAATGTCCGTCAATGGTACAGAAAAACTCATGTAAATCTACGGAAATATCCGTTCTAAGGTTTACGGAAGTGCCCGTACAAAAACGGAAAAAGTGCTGGTAATTAATTACCAGCACTTTTTCCGTTTTTTAACGGAGATTTTTTTAACAGTGTACTCTTTCCACCACTGATTATAATATACACCCAAATATTCTTCATACAGAGACTACCGTAACACTGATTCCTCCTTCATGTTTTCTTCAGTGTGTTTTCTGTAATCGCTAATGCTCTTTTTACACACACACACTGAACAACATGAAGCATTGCTTGGTCACTGGTTGAGCTAAACTGGTGTTATCTAATAGTGTAGTTCAATTGAACAGATATTCAACATAATTCATGTGTGAGAGTCCAAAACCAGTCTGAGAACTAACTTCTGCTCATGATTATCACCATTATAGCCAATAAACTGAGATCATGTGAGAAGTGTGTGAGAATAATGTTGTGTGTTTATGCACCAAACGCAGGGTTGTTGTTAACGCAGGTTTCAGCGCATCTATAAACCTCCTTCCTGATCGCGCAGCTTCGTTTGATGCGTTGTCGTAATTTCCACTGAAACAGAAGCTAAGGCGGGACTTATTGAATGGCTCCTCCCCCTTCTCAAATAGCCAATAGCGTCTAGTTTCCCTCACAGACTGACAGCAGCATGGAAGCGAATCGATACGCTGGATTCAATTGTGAATCAATTCTTAACAGAATAAACTGGAGCGACACACACTCCAACACATGACGCTCTGTGACGCGTCAACGCTCGCTTTGGTCAGCAGAGGGGGCGGGGCTTCAGGTTCTAGAGAGCATGTGATTGGACAGAGAGAAGCGGTGATGTCATAAAAACACCTGATCTGTTTTATCGTAAGCGAGAGACTGTGAGTTCTGAATGCTTATATCTCCTAAATGTCATTGTTTTGGAAGATTATTCATAACTGTAAGAATGACATATTCAGACTAAAAGCTAAAAAACTTACATTTTGATTTCAAGAGGCTTTTAACGTGCATTTCTGCCGCGGCCGCAGTCAGATGGAGTGCTTTTACTGCCGTGTTGTGGTTTTACGCCGAGCTCCAGTGAGGAGACTAGATAACCTGAGTGTGCTTCAGACTCTCATGCATTTATTTCAGCCATATTTATTCAATTTCAGATGATAATCTGTTAAAGCGCTGGTTCCCGCACCGGCCGGCTCATTAAAGCGTGTGACGGGATGTGCGTGTGATGGCGCTGCACGGCTGCACCGAGAGCTTGTCAATTAAACTGAACGAGTCGCTGAATTAATGCGGCTCGTCTTCATCTTCCTGTTTTCTGCTTCAGTGAGTCTGGAGTTTCACGAAGAAGAGCTCGTCACTGACGTCTCGGGATGCGCTGCGATTCGCACAAAAACTAAATCTTATTCATCTCTGGCATTTATGTAATGTATATACATTCGAGTTATTCTAGTTATGCCAAACTCTACAATATGTTATTGGGTAGATGAAAATGTGGAAAAGAACCATTTTCAGCGATCAGTTCATACATATTTTTATGTGTGTATGTGGTGTTTTTAATCCGTTTTTAAAGTTGATAAGTGGACAGCATTGCTGAGTATTTCCTCCTTAAAACTGCAGTGAACCAAAGACTCAAAAACACGCTTTGTGTTTTTCGCTGGTGTTTCTGACGTCACAAACCACCTTGTAACCAATCAGATCAACGTGTGATCCTCAACCAGTGGATCTCTGACTGAGTGAGTGGAGGCGGGGCTCATTTGCATATTCATAGAACCGCACATACTAAATGAGGCGAGGGTGTCGAGTTACACTCAAGATACTTTAAGGCAGGAGTAAATGTTTAAATGTGTCTTTTTGGTGATCAAAGATAAGTTTGAACAGATTGACTACAGGGGGATTTTAACAAATGACACACAAACGTTTTTTGAGCTCATGACACTTATTTTTGCGCAATTCCTTACAATACTATTGTTTATTAATCAATAATCCGACCATGTAATCATAATTTTGTGTGAAACAGAATGAAAGATGTTCAGCATCAGTTCAGATGGAAACTGCAGTGATTTGATTATATTGGTGTTTTTAGACTTTTGCAAAAATGTATCCAAATGAGCCTGTGTTTATTATATCTTTTAAAGGGAGAGTTCACTTTGAAATTAATTTTTGGTATGTTTTATCTTACCTCAAGCGCATCCAATATGTAGGTGTCTTTGTTTCCACTGTATTTTCAATTTTGATATTTTTAGGTCAAAGCGTTGTTGTCTATCAGTCATATAATGGAGGTCTATGGTCACCACCTCAAAGAGCAGCACAGAGAAGTCCAGATAAAACATGATTTAATGACTCGTAAATGTAAGTACACATTGATGGCCTAAGACACGAAACGAGCGGTTTAGTGTGAGAAAACCAACAGTATTTATATCGTTTTTACCTCTTATAATCACAGCCACGTCCAACTGATCTGAGGGCGCGGGCGCTTTGTGGCTGTGGTTACAAGAGGTAAAAACGATATAAATACTGTTGGTTTTCTCACACAAACCGCTCGTTTCGTGTCTTAGGCCATCGATGTGTACTTACATTTACGAGTCATTAAATCATGTTTAATTTGGACTTCTCTGTGCTGCTCTTTGAGGTGGTGACCATAGACCTCCATTATATGACTGCCAGACAACAACGGTTTGACCTAAAAATGTCAAAATTGAAAATACAGTGTAAACAAAGACACCTACATCTTGGATGCCCTTGAGGTAAGATAAAACATATCAAACATTCATTTCAAAGTGAACTCTCCCTTTAACCCTTTAGTGTAGGAATCTCCATATGAGTTGGTTACACACACCTACATAATCCAGTCGATCAGGGCTTTGTGCTGAAGTGAACGACGCTGCCCACGGAGATCAGAGCGTCTCCGTCCTGACAGTTTCAGGCAATTATACGTGTTCTTGGTGAGCCGGTGTGGCTCTGACAGCTCGACGGCACCAGTCACGTGCAGCTCTCAGAACAATAGAGCGTCAGCCGTCCTCTCACACGGCTCTGTCATCAGCTACAAAGAGATGATTTAGGTTCATTAAACCCAGTCTGATTGTCTCCGCGTTCGGTGGAAATTGAATTAAAGCTTGTCCGGTCAGAAAGCGGCGGCGGTGTGCGGGCTTCACACGGCCCAACAGCGGCGAGATGTTCTGATAGCGAGGGATGCGGTTCGCCTGACTGGGTCGCCCGCTCGGCTGAAAGCAGGGCTTGTCATGTTGGAGTGCACTAATTAGACTCCAGCCTAATTTTCCAAGCTGCTCCGCTGCCCTTTAAGCCGCCATTTAAAATTCAAAGTGATGGTAATTGTACAAAAGCACGCTGATCCAGTAATCACCCCACGGTCGGCGTTTGCTCCGTCTCTCCTCCTCCTCCAGTCAGCTTTCTGATTGTCTGAAGCTTGAGTCTGTGATGAAGAGGCTTTAAGTAAGCACACAAACAAAACCCCCTCGCTCGTGAACCCTGGCCTCGGCGCGCAACACACACCACGGGTCAGGCTTCCAGGGGCTTCACAAGCACCGCCGCCAAATTAGATGTCAAAATAAGTGTCTGCTTCAAACCGAGAAGCAGTGGGTGCACCGTTTCACATGAGAGTCGTCAGACGCGATGTCAAGAGACGGCACATCCATTAAAGGGCCTGGGCGGCGAGTCAAGTGGCCTTTGTAGGGCGCGTGTGCTTAAACTGCTGGACGAGTAAACGGGTGCACAGAAGTAGGGTTGGGTATCGTTTGAATTTGAACGATTCCGATTCCTTGTTTCGATTCCGGTTCCTAACGATTCTCGATTCCGATTCTTTTAAGAGGCAGGGTCAAAAAAGTTTAGCTAACCTTGCTAACCAACGGCCTTTCTGAAGGAAATACTCCTTCTGTCACAAATACTTCTCACAAATTTTGCATTTTGCCGAGATTTCGTTATTTTTAGAAAAGTGAAGCCACACTTTGGATCGCCGACGTAAGCTACTCATGTTCGACTCGCGCGGTTATGCCAACACTTCCGGTAGACGCTTCTTCATTGGTGTTGTTCAGCGGTTTCTTCTTCCGGTCGGCGGACTGTGAATATCGAAACTAGGAATCGAAATTTTAACTTTTGAACGATTCCGGGAAAAACGAAAAGTTAGTCCCGGTTCCAATCGATACTCGATTCTCGATACCCAACCCTACACAGAAGTCAATGACAATCAAGCACAGGACAGTTATGAACAACATGAAGCACACGTGAAGTGTCCGGATGAAGATGTGATCCAGTTTCTCTCAGTGGTTCAGTGAAGACCCATCCAAAGGGTTCTTTACAGTATTAACATGTTCTCCACACTGAGAAAGTATGGTTTAAGGGTTCTTTGAAGGAACCAAAATGTCTTTCTGAACCTTTATTTTGAGTGTAATATCGACTGTGTTGGGGAAAGTGTTACGATACCACATTACTCTGGAAAAGTACCCAAAGCATTACTCTTGTGTTTGTTTTTCTGACCCGGTTGGGCTGAGCTTGTTTGTTTTGTAACATCAACAATTTGTTTAATGGTCCTTTTCAAACACAGGCCGTGTGTGACGTCTGTTTATCCTTCTTTCGCGCATACGGGTCAG